TACTTATCAGAAGAAAAGCCTTGAGAGAGAAAAGGAGAAATGTTGAAAGGACACAGAAAGGTCTATCTGTTCATCAAGTAGGAGGTTCAGGGTAGTCTAGGACTTTGGAATGGAATGGAATTGCCTTAGAATCTAGAGGACTGGCCTATGCTGCAAAACTTGGGCTTTGGGGACAGACAGGCCTGAAATGACACTGAAATGTTGGCCTTGTGCTTATTAGATCTATAATTATCAATAAGCCACTCACTCTTTCAATCCCTACAGAATGGGGATACCAAATGAAGATGGAAAGAAAACTGAGATTACTATTTCTATTTTAGGAAAACTAATTAATAATAGCTTTCCCATCTAAATCCATATTCAGGGAAGTTAGCAATTTCACTAGAAGAAAATTTTTTTTGTTAATTCATAATAATCAGAGCATCCAAAAAATTTATCTTGTTCTTATTAGAACTTTTGCTGGAGGCTTCAATACAATAAAACAGAGTACTTAACATGAGACTAGGTCACTTTAAAATTGTGCTTTTTGAAAGTTCCCAGCTTGAACACCAAGAATGTGAATTATTTAGGAGTCTCATTTCAAATTTTTGTATGGTTGTCTATAGCAATGATTAATAAATATAAACACCTTTCAAAACCAGAATTTCCTTTAGTTTTAAATGAATATTCACAGATGACATTGTCACCTTGCTGATTGTGGGGACTCTGCACTGTATGCCAGTACTCAGATCCCGAAAAGCCCCACTGACTTTTCTGTTTCCACATAGAAAATAAATATAATTTAGGGCTTCTGAAATCACAGTAGGTATAGTCACCCAGCACTGAAAATATACCTGAATGATTAGGTTTTAAAAAGCTGGCTTAGGGTAGAGCCTAAAGGGCCTTTATTCCCCTCCAATCCCTGGTTCTCTGGGAGATGGCTGCCTTGCTGCTGGCCTTGTCCAGAGACTCCTGGTGAGGACTTTTCCTCCCATCTTCTTCTGAGAGCAACTGCCCTTTTGGACTTTTACAGTTCTCAGATTCTCTGATTCCAAGTGTATCAGAGAGTGGAAAGTTATACAGTAGCATAAAAAGGATGAAAATCCAATAATAATAATAATAATAATAATAATAATGGGGTTTACTGGCAAGAGCAGCTGTGCTGCATATCCTTATCACAAGTTTCCAGTTTGTAAATTAATTCATCTGCAAATAGTGCCCTGTTTCCTGATGCAATTTCAATGTTGCAGTGCTGATTTCTCAAGGATTTAGGTTCAAAGTCAAAAGTTTTCTGGCCTAGATGTTACAAATAAGTAGTGTACTTTCTCTTTTGCTCCCAGTCTGTTCATCCAATCATATCCCAACATGCAAATAAACTTTAGGCAGTGCATATAAAAAGGAACAAATAAAGCCGAGTGCTGTATCAGAATCAAATTGCTGAGCCTGTCACCTGTGTTCCAGGAACCGAACCAGAAATGTCTTCAGCAAAACCAGCCATACCTGCCCCACTGACTGATTTGAAGATTCAGTATACTAAGGTTAGTACAGCTTGTATGTGCTGCTTTGCCTTGGGTTTCCATAAGGTACAACGGTTTGAAGCATAAAAGTTCAATTTAACTAAATTTGTGTGACAACCCCTTTACAAATACAAAATAAAGCCTTGTTTAAAATGAAAGTTTGGGTTTGGTGGTCTAATCATATAATAAAGTCTAAATTTCATAAGACAATGTTTCATTAATTTATTTCTTATCCAAATGAAAGGAATTCCCTTGTTTGTGAAAGATTCTTGTAGCAGAAATTAGTGGACTTTAGTAAGCAGCGCCTTGTATTTAAGCAGGCCCGTACCAGAAAGCCATGAAGCCCCTTTGGAGGAGAGAATTACAGCCACATTGAGAGGAGTAAAATCAGTAAGATCCTTTGTAAAGGTTGGTTCAGAGGCTGTCAGATCCAGAAGGAACACTGTTGTCACAGTTCCAAAACAGGCTGGCCAGCTCTTGGTGATTACGTCCAGTTTCCAGCTCAAATTTCCTATCAGC